GACAGATGCGATCGATCTTTTCCTAATTGGGATATGGCCCCCAAGCGGTCAGGGTCCATCCGGGCTCATCCGGGTCCATCCGGGCTCATCCGGGCTCATCCGGGTCCCACACCATCCATTACTGGTGCGCATAATTATTATTCGAAAATTATTTTTGTGCCCCATAATCGCCTAATAATAAACTCAGCCTAACCTTTCTAGCAATTTTATTGGTCAAATATGATGTGATTGAATTTTTGGGGCACAAAAAATAATTTCCGATAGTTATTTGACAACCAAATGTGATTTGTTCACTGAATTTAATATTTAAAATCACTGAAATCTCGTCAAAATCTTATTTAGTATGACTGCGTGCACAATTGCTTATTAACATAATCAGATCGTTATACGCGTTATGATTATTACAATTATTACCTGTTATAATGGGGTGGCCGATCTTCTAATAGTATTGGTTTTTGTATAATGATAGATTTTTTTGATCGAAATTGTGCTGTAGTCTTTATATTAAAAAATTAGTAAAATATTTAATTAAAACTTTATATATATTTTTTAAAAGGGATATTACAAATATTTTAGCATAACTTTGTGTAATAGAAGTGTTAACACTTCTTTTTGCCAAATTTGATGTCAATTCATCACACAATTAAAGCTGAATAAATTTAAATCTTTTAGAAAATGCATTCACGGTCATGCTTCGAATATAGTTTACTAAATATAGAGATTACAATTAGAGGTTAGAGGTACCTTATCACTGGCGCGTACGACAGGATATGTCGATGTAGTCAATAAAATCACAAGATCTCGTGTAACTTAAAAAAATTCGAAAAGCACTGAAAGCAGAAGTTTTTCAGCACGAAATTTAATTATATGAGAACATTTTAAATATCGAATATTAAGTAAATTAAAGCCGGCACTAAATTCTGATCTTCGTGCTCTTTCGATTTGGTAATCGGCACAGATTCAGTACATGCATATATACAGTCAAACTCTCTGTAATCGCACCCTTGGTTCTAAGAATTTTATGCCTATATAAAGATTAAATTTTATATAAGTGCCACTAAGAAAAGGGCTCCTCAGCAGTTTAAGTATATGACTGATTAATTAGTGAGTTCAGAAATGAGCTTTATATTATACAGCATGATTCATACTAAATACATTAATAGACATTTTATAAACAGGAGAACCGTCGATGTTACACAATTTTACAATATCGGGCATTCCACTGTCCATGCTACGATTATAATCCCTCACCTGTTTGACTATAATCCAACAGGTGAAGGATTATAATCGTAATACTTACTAGCGGAATGATCCCGTATTGTAAATTATATTTTTTTTGTGCTGCACACCAGGTGTAGGATTAGTTTGTAACATTGACGGCACCCGTTCATTTTATATTTAAGTAGAAATGGTCCCGAAATCAAAGATTTATTAGGATACGAGTAAATCTCGGCCGAAAATTGATTTGCATTAAAATCTCGGAAGATTGCACATCACAAAATAAAGGGGAATTTACAAGTAAGGGACTGGGAAGCGAAAATAATTACAAATACGGACCCAAATTAAAATAATTACACATTAGGGCCTAATTTTTTGCCACAAAATACTATGACCATTTGACTTATAACAATAGCAAAGTCGCGATTATAGGATTATTGATTGTTTTATTATAGGCATTTAGAGTTAACTAGATATCAGTTATTAGATAAAAAAATAAATGGAGTGCTGGCTACAATCATTTCGCTTAAATATTGTATAAAAAATAGTGTCAAATTAGCACAATTATTTAGTAGCTCTCAAAAGCATAACAATTATCTTCATATTAGTAAATGTTATTCCAATTTGCATGGTTTGTTATATCAATAACCGATTTTATACAAAGAAAATGAAATTTATTAAATTTAAAAAAATTTCTTTTCTCATTTATAATTACTAATTTACAATCGATCGTTCCATTTTTTATGTATTTAATAACTACATTTATTGATGCTTATATTTCTTATGCTAATAACGATCAAGCCATAGGCTTAAATAATGTCGCTGTTATTTTGGACCCTTATATGTATTATTTTTTAAAAATTAGACCTTTTTATGTAATTGTTTTTAATTTGGGCCCGTATTTGTAATTATTTTCACTTTCCGGGTCCTTATTTTGAAATTTATCCAAAATAAACTTGTTTATTTCAAAATCATATTTTTTGAGCACTTTCTAATTTTATCTTTCATTTGATTAATTATTTAATGATTTTTTAGTTGATGTCTTTGTCCTTTAAATGCATGATACCAAAAGTCCAGTCTTTGAGTTGCATTTAGAAAGGTTTGACTGGTAAGATTTATTGCTATGTTCTTGTGATTTGTATCACTAAAATCCCATACATTCCGTGATTTGTATCACTATATTTCTGGTATGACTTAGTACCCGGTACTTTATGCCCTGCACTTAGTACACTTAATACAGGCACCTAATGCCTATGCCTATCATAGTGCCTGGGATTTTGTGCCTCTGCCTATTTCCTATGCTTACAGGAATGAATGTCTGGCAATATTATGATACCCAATTGCCTGCATGGGCATCCCTATACTTACCGTTACGTATCAAATATGTTTCAGGTCTAGCTAAAAAAAGTAGGATCGAGGCTTTCCCTTAACTGCACTCGTATGGTATGTGTATGTGCAGATCATCTAAAGACACTAGAACTATAGCTATTCAATGAATATTTGGATATATTTTGTCTTAGATAAACCTAAAATGTTACGTTCTTTTGTTTAAGAAAATTTTCTTATTCTTCTAGAAGATACAATTAAAAAAAAAAAAACCATAACAGGAATTTTCAAAGCTAATAATCGGCAAGATGGTATTTGATTAGTATGTTCTCATCGTTACCTAAAATTTTAATTACTTTCCCGACTATCCTATCCAGATCAGTACTAATATTAAAATTAAATTAGAAATGTTTCTCCTAAAAGAGCTAAACTTTCTAGTGATGTAGTATGATTTATAAACCTTTTAAATTTCCAAGAAAATTTAATGTTCGTTTATCATTTGTTTAAACTTACAAATACACATTTATCATAATGCGATACTTAAATATCAAAATCAAAAAGTTATCACTAATTATTGCTTTAGCAACATTTGCATATATTAGTCTTTGGTACTTTTATTCACAACAACCACTTTTGGATTTGTTCAATAAGTTTTCTTTTCATAAAAATTTAGAAAATGATGATATGACCCTTGGTTTTGATCATATTTACGTTACAAATGTTTCAAGTCGGCCAGGAACACATGAAAAATTAAAATCAATCGAAAAAAAATTAAATTTAGAATTCGAATTCTTTCCAATCACTAACCAATTTGATGATAAAGATCATAATAAATTACATCTATTACAAAAAAATTACGTTAGTAATAGTATTTATCAATCAATTGTGGATCATAATTATAAGAGTGCATTAATTTTAGAAGATGACATAGATATTGAATTAAATATCAAGTCGATTATGACTGATATCCATCCCATATTACCTGCTAATTGGGAAATTCTATACCTTGGTCATTGCAGTAATTGGGAAGGGAGTTCGGGTGAACCATTGTCAGATCAAAATCATGGACAATCTATTTATAAGCTTTTCAAATCTAATAGGCCATATTGTACACATGCTTACGCCGTCTCATATCGTGGTGCTCTTAAACTATTAAAAAAGTTTACTGAATTAATAACTCCAATCGATCTTGAATTAACTAAGATGATTACAACAAATGAAATTTCCTCATATACTATTATACCATCGGTTATAACGAGATGTCTTATTTCTGATGAATCAACAGATCTTTATCCAGGAAAAAATATATTAGATGTATTCTCTTTAAAGAATTCCACTTTATTTTCTCTTGGATTTAATTATGAATTAAATAGTACTCTCGGCTTTAGTCACATTTACGTTCTTGGTCTTGAAAGTCGGCGTGATAGACGTGAAAAATTAGAAGTTTTAGAGAAAAAACTTAATCTAAAATTCGAATTCTTTCCTGCTGTTCCTCAAGAAGATAAAAAAGCACTCCAAGAACTTGAATTAAAAGATCCTAACTTAATGCCAGCTCAAGTTGCTTGTTATCTTAGTCATTATAAAATTTATCAATCAATAATTCAACGTGGATATGATAGCGCTTTGATATTAGAAGATGACGTAGATTTCGAACTTAATATCGCATCAATCATAGCAAATACATATCGAGTTTTGCCTTCCGATTGGGATGTCTATTATATTGGCTATTGTGACTATATGGAAAGAAGTGGTTATATATTAGATGGTCAAAGTAATTCACCATTTTATAAAGTTCATAGATCTGTTATGCCAGTATGTACTCATGGTTACGCTGTTTCGCGTGCTGGGATACTAAAATTATTAGAACATCTTAATCCAATAACTGAAACAGTTGATTCAACAATTCTTCGTTTAATGCGGGCAGGAACTATTAACTCTTTTTCTCTTGTACCATTGGCAATGGTACAATGGCGTTCTTCAATTAATCCATCAGATATTGCTCCTGAATTTAGATTTCATTATTTCATCTCTTTACAACATTCCGCTTTAGAACATTTTGGTCTTATTAAAGAAACAAATAATACTCTTGGATTCAATAAGATTTACTTTATTAATTATCAGGATGAACCGGGCTATCAAAATATCACTGAAAAATTAACAAAAATGTCAGATAAATTATGTTTAGTTTTTACTAATTTCGATTCTATTTCCTCAAGTAAAATTAATCAAAAGAACAAATTGAAAGAATCACAAAAAGTTTCATATTTAAGTCATTATAAAGTCTATGAATCAATTATCAATAATGAATATGGTAGTGCATTGATTTTAGAAGGTGATATGGATATTGAACTTAGGATCACATCAATTATGGTCGATATACATCGAATTTTACCAACGGATTGGGACATTATATATCTAGGTTATTGTAATACTTCTGAAAGTACATCTGGTGAACCTTTACCGGGTAACAATAATAATCAATTTGATTATAAATTATTTAAATCAGATAAACCACATTGTACATTTGCCTATGCTGTTTCATATTCCGGTGCTCTTAAGTTAGTTGAAAAACTTGGCAACTCAATAACATCACCGCTTAAACCACTTGATATAGAATTAGTTAACATTATACAATCGGGAAAAATCAATTCATATACTCTTGTACCACCAATCATTACAAACTTTAGAAAATCTCATTACGGTAAAGACATTTCTGACATACATTTAAAAAATTCTACTATAGAATATTTCAAAATAGATGAATAAAAATATATCAATATATTTAGAAATCATAATTAACAGGATCTGAATGACGCGAGATGGGATCTTATTTGAAATTCCTGGTTCTTGATTCAACTGGTCTTGGTTTAGGTTCAACATTCGGAAATTGTACCTATATTTTTTAATTTAATTGATTTTAATATTAATTTAAAATATGAAAGTTTTATTTTTACGGTAATAAAAGAATCTTATTTAAAATATAATAGTACAATAAGCTTTTAATATAAAAAATATTTAACTTCAATAAATTAAATATCGATATGGTAAACTATTTTAAAATAAGTTATGCGTATTTGCTATTTTCTTAATGCTGAAAATGTTAAAACGATGGATCAACCTTATGATAATTGATTTAGTAGTTATTACAGTTTGCAAATTGTAGTAAATTCATGTAAAATAAGATGCTTTTTTGATTCTAAAAGAATTTTCAAAATAAATGTCATTATTACTGATTGAATATACAGTATGATTAGAAATGTAAAATTACCACAAATTTACATAGTTTTATTATAATTTTTGTATAACTGATAAGTCGATAAATTAAATTTCATGTACAGTCGAAATTGCACCATGAATCGGTGTACTTCCACTTGTTATTCATTAATAAAGAGTAGTCGTATCTTCATACACGAATAACTCAAAGAACTGTAAACTATTTGTATCCATTTAATCGTTTGCCTATTTCGTAATTGAAATCCTCCTTGACGTTAATACAAGATGTTGGCATAAAACATATATACATATAAGACGAACATGAGACATTAAGTTAATATCGTCTCATAATTACGAAATGATTTATCTATTACGATGTTATGATAAAGAAATATCTATATCTATATATTCAAAAAAAATTGGACTTCTGCATGGTCGTCAGGCATTGCATACTAGTGTAACATTCGTTTTTCAGTTATTCTGCGAATCCATTGACAATCTAAAATATGGCTCGTGCTGAAAAATTTATCCGAATTTCGGAAAAATTGATTTTTGATTATATATATATAGCTGATGTTTAATACAGATCTAACAATTTTGATATATAAACCCGACGGATCTCTAAGATAATGGCCTTTGCAATATTAACACACATTTAAATACTATGTTTATTCATATAGCCCATCGTTTGCGACAGGCTAACTATTTAATTTATTATGCCATTTTTTCGTAACAATGTACATAGTAATGGGCCACGCGCGGGATCCACGCGGGATCCACGCGGAATTCCGCGTGGATTTTTAATGAGATTATTTGGCCTGCATTAGCACATCATCAGGCCTGCATTAAATATCATCCGGCCTGTATTAACATTAATAAGCCAATTTCTAATTAGTAATTGATATACATAAAATTAATGCGCATGTATTTCTAGGACCGACTGTGACGTAGCACAGGAGGGATATTATCGCGAGGATCACCTGACCCCATGATCATTAGGGTTATGAGGTCACTGATCCAGCGAGTC